ACAAAGGATATTAGTGTGAAAACAGCAACTAGATGGTTGAATATTTTGGGATATTTCTTTCAGAAGAACAGGCAGGGTTTATATTTTGATGGACACGAGAGACCAGATGTTCTTGAATATCATAAAATATTTCTTGAAAAAATATTTGAATATGAAAAATTCATGACCAAATATGATGATATAACACTAGAGCCAATTTCACCTGATCTTAAACCTGATGAAAAGGAAATTATTTTAGTGACACATGATGAGTGTATATTCTATTCAAATGATGGGAAGAGAGGAATTTGGGCTAAAAGTGGTGAGTTGCCATTAAAAAAAAAAGGTAATGGTAGGTCAATAATGGTAAGTGAATTTTTGACTGAAAAGAATGGAAGATTACATTTAAATGAAGTACAAATTACAAGTAATCCATATGTCCCAGAAGAATCTAGAGTTATTTTAAAACCAGGTAAAAATCATGAGGGGTATTGGACTAATGATCATTTAATTGAGCAGGTAGAACTTAAAGCTATTCCAATATTTGAAGCACTTTTCTCAAATTGTACTGCTCTTTTTGCATTTGATAATTCAACAAATCATGGTTCTTACAAATCAGATGCTCTTGTGGCAAGTAGAATGAATTTAAACCCAGGAGGTAAGCAGCCAAAAATGAAAGATACTGTTTTTGGACCTAATAATATATTTCAATCCATGGTTTTTGAAGATGGGATACCAAAAGGAATGAAACAGGTGTTGGTTGAAAGGAACCTGTGGAAAGAAGGTCTGTTAGCTGATTGCAAGTTATGCAGAGGAAAAGTTGTGGATGAAGGTAGGGTTGATTGTTGTGCCAGAAGAATTCTATCCTTACAACCTGATTTCAAAAACCAAAAATCAGCTTTAGAAGAATTAATTTTGGAATCAGGACATTTGTGTGTTTTTTACCCTAAATTTCACTGTGAATTAAACTTTATTGAAAGGTATTGGGGTGAAGCTAAAAAATACACTAGGGATAAATGTGACTACACATGGGAAGGATTACAGAGGACAGTACCTGAAGCATTAGATTCAATAGATGTAATTACAATAAGAAAATTTGCCAGAAAGTCTTGGCGATATATGGATTTATACAAAGGTGGTATATCAGGTAAATTAGCAGAGTATGCTATTAAAAAATATAAATCACACAGAAGAATTCCTGAATATGTTTTTCAGGAATTAAATAATATTAAAATAGATTAAATTTCTAATTTCTCAATTTCATAAAATATTTTATAATCATCATTTTATATTTATTATATATATGTGTATATATTTGGAAATAAATTCCTACAAATAAATTTTTTAAAAATCTCATTAAAAAAAAACAAAAAAAAAAAAATAGTGAGGAAGTGATCTTTCCAAATAAATAATAATAATCTTATTAAAAAAAATTATTCACACTCGAGAACAAATCTTTCACTTTTATCTTTTATTTGCTTTTTTTTGATGATTATTTTTACTAATCCTCTATGTATAATGGTTTTTTGTATTTTTTGACTTCGGTCCATTCTGTTTATTTTAATAAATAAAATTCATCATTAATCTAATAATAGTATGATTATGAATGGATCCAATATTTAAAAAACTCACTTTGCTTTCAGTTCAATTCTATGCTCAAATAGAACTCCGTTCTTAAATAAATAATTTTTATTTATTGGGTTTATTCCATGAGGAATATCATTTAAAACCCCCATAATATAAATCAACTTGTTAGATGGACCAACTTCTACAACGATTTCTTCTGGACGTGCTATGGTTGGGACATTTGCCATTATTATATATTTGTTACTATTTCAAATAAAAAAATAATTTAATTTTTATAAAGTTAATGTAGAGAATATTAATTTTATATGATTCATACCCATCATCAAAAACACTATGGTTCTTATCATCATCGAAAATTATTTTTTCACTGCCACTACTGTTACTGCTACTATTATTATCAGTAGCACTGCTGCTACTACTATTATTAAAAGTACCATTACTCCTGCTACTATTATTATAAACATTACTGCTGCTACTATTATTATCAACATTACTGCTGCTACTATTATTATTTTGGGTACCATCACTGTCATTATTAATATTATTATTACTTCTATTGTTATTATTATTATTGTTACCATTATCACAGATATATTTTACTACTTTATTACTTCTATAATGGGTGGCAGCTGAAAAAATAATTAGGTGGTCTTCATTATCACGATATTCACAATTATTGTGATTGAAAAAAAAAACACCAGCTTCAATCCGATCATGAAAGTGCACATGGGCAAACCTAAATTAATTATAATTAATTTAAAATATTTTTTAATATGAATCAACTCTCCATAATATAGTTGAAATTATATATATAAAGGAGTACCAAGAAAAAAGCTTTACCTTTTACCAGAAATTTTTTTTACGTGGGAATATACTGCTCTGGGTAAACTAGCATTTATCCAATTTTTGAAATAATTGGCATTTTTGTTTGTATGGTCCGAGCCTCCAATAAATATTGTAAGTTCAGGATTTGAACAGCATTCTAACCATTTAATAAATATGTATTATTTAATAATAGTTTATATATATAAAACAGGAAAGGGGAGAAGCATCTTTCCCAAGTGAGGGAAAAACTTCAAGCAAGGGACATTATTTTTAAGTGAGGGAGGAATGGAGGAAAACTTCACTTAAAAATAATGTCCCTCGCTTGAAGTGGAGAAAAGCTACACTTGAGAATAGATACCTCTTATTAATTCAAATTCGTTTTCCATTATTATTATTATTGTTATATATATATAAAATTTAAAAATTTTTTTTTTTTAATCTTATATATATATATTACTATTAGAAAAAGTCAGAATTTGATTGGCTATGTCACATATGATCGACATTTTAAATTTCGGACTATTAACCATTATACAGTGCAGGACATCTATAATGGTCAATAGTCCGAAACTTAAAATTTTAGAAGATCTTTCTAATTTAAGTAATCA